AGTCAAGAGCCATTCTCTCTCTCTCTCTCTCTCTCTCTCTCTTTCTCTCTCTCTCTCTCTCTCTCTCTCTCTCTCTCTCTCTCTCTCTCTCTCTCTCACCGGCACTAAGACCAAATCCTGCCTCGTTAACATCTGGTGACATCTGCCTTCTCTTCACGACAATGATGAGAAAAAAAAAACATATGAAACAGTGACTCCAGAGAAGCATTTCAAATGAAATCTCTCTGACTCTTGGAAAACCCCGGCTAGTGTGATTTCTACTAATTTTACTAATTCCTTCAATTTTACTCTTGTCGGAATGCTGTTACAGTCTGGATCATCACCAAACTCTAATCAACCAGTCCCTAGTATCACCTCTCTACTTCAGAAACCAACCGATTTCATCCGTTATATCTCCTTAATCTACTCTCATCTACTCTTGGCCAAAATTTGAACCCTTTGTATAACCCCAGAAGTCTACCCATGTAACACACTCTACCGCGATTCTACCTTGATCTGTGTCAACATCTTCAGAATACTTCATTGCCTTTTTGCATAATCCAGCTAAGCATCTGACACTAAATGCTTAGTTAGATTATGCGTGAATATCCAATTACCGTTATTCTCTCTTTCACTTTTGTAGATAGGTGAGAACTCATACAGTGTGTTTAACCTGCACAATTTAATCTGTACTTTGTCTACCCTGTATTTCTGTATATATTGTGTGTATGCATAACTGCTAATGCAAGATGATGTTCCTATTTATTGATGTAGCCTCCCATATCTCTATATTTATTGCGCATGACGTGGCAACATTCTCCTTGATCACGTGACTATCAACATTGCCTGTGAGCGGGGTTTCCCGCCAAATTTCGATCTCTCGGCGCTGGTCAACCATAGGAGACAGATGTGTGCTCTCGCCCCCCATGTAACTCCTGAGAACAGAACCTACTAGATTCAAGATTGGTGTTTCCTTCTCCTGTTGATTACGAGGAACATCCCCCAACCCAAGAAGAAATATACATGGCGCAGTGACTGTATTTTCAGGAGTTTTACCGAGAGAAGCGACCAGGCGCCGTTAGCCAACTGAACTTCTACCCAGCCTCATCTTTCTGGATTACAGTGATTTGTGGAGTGATTTTTAGTGCAGTGAAGTGATTTCCCCATGTTTTGTCGTGTGTACTACAGTATTTTTATTGTTGTGGCCGTTTTTCATGTCCTCTGTGGGAGCGCTGCTTCGCACACCTCCCAACGACATCTGCCCACGTACTGACGGTCCCAGCAACGCGCCTCAAAGAAGTACTCTTCCGCGCTGCTAGACACCGATCTCGGCAACACCCGCAACACACGTACGCACTGCTCGCTCGCACGGTCTCATGTAATATTCAATTACAAGTCTTTCAGTAAGAGAATACGTTTACTGGAATTGAACAAGTGCTTCCTATTTTTCAACTTACATGGCTGATCAGGATTTTCTACCGAATCCAACGAGCCCCAACAAGATGCACTTCAGTACTCACTTCCAGTGGGTGGAGCGACGGGTGGAGGAGTGGACCAGCCTCCCCTCCTCTCCCCTCCCCAGAACACCCACCCAACTTCCGCGACTGCCGCTGATTTTATGCATCTGATACAGTATTGGGAGGCATCTCGAGTGCAAGAGGAAGCTAGACGACGCCGGGAAGAAGAGATTCGTCGCCAGGAAGATGATTTACGTCGCCAGGAAGAGGCTGCAAGATTCACGACCCTCATCCAGCTCCTGTCACCTGTAACTTCAGCCAACTTTAGCTGGCTCTTCCCCTCCACTTGCTCCTGGGCCTCATCCCACCACTCATCATCCTCCACCACAGAAGGCAATAGCTCAGAATCCACCTCCGTTAAAATCTGACGCATCTTTTCAGGTCTTCCGTGAATGGCGTAGGCGGTGGGATGATTATGCTGTTATGGTGGACTTGGCAAGTCTACCTCGTGAGAAACAGCTAATACAGATGTGGATGTGCTTAAGCCTAGAAACACAACGCATATTAGAGCATACACTGCAGATTACGCCCTCAACAGACTTGACTGTCGACCAGGTTTTGGACGCCTTGCAGTCCCACATTAAGAGTCTTCGGAATGAAGCCCTTCGCAGACGGGACCTGTTTGGTTGTAAACAGTCTGATGGTGAGTCATTTGCTGATTTTTATGTACGACTGCGACGTATAGCTGAAGAACTGGACATCTGCCATGGGAATTCGAAGGAGTGTGAAGAAACCCAGCTCAAGATGATCATACTGATGGGTATTCGTGACGAGGAGTTAATTCAGAAACTCATCTGTCTACCTTCACACTCCCCTCTTCAGGATATGGTCAATACCTGCAGATCCTTCAAGGCTACCAAGAGTGCCACATCTGATATACGTGCTATAACCAACCAGTTGTGTGCTGTTTCTGCCTATCAGAAAAAGAAGAAGGGGCAATACAGCCAAACCCTTCTCCGCGACTTCGACATCACAGGGTTCATGTCAGTTTTGCGCACGACGGCATGATTCAGGGAAATGCCCTGCCGCTGACAGCATTTGCAACAACTGTGGTCGTCACGGTCATTGGGCAAGGACATCCAAGTGTCCTGCACCTCCGTCCAGTGCAACTTTTGCAATCGCATGGGACACTATGAAAAATGCTGTAAACAAAAGAAGAGGGAAAATCAGAAGAGTAAAACTCCAAGAAGTGATGATACCGCACACCTCAGGCCTATTGTGAGAGTGAATGCTGTTATCTCTCCAGGGGAGTCTCCGCCGCTGGACACCGACAGGACTCTTCAGGATCTTCGAGCCGCAGCAAGAGTGGACCCTTCATACACTCGCCTTCTGGACTGCGTTTCTTCAGGATTCCCTTCCAACAGATACGATCTCCACAGCTCTCTGCTCCCATTCTGGAAGATACGAGACAACCTTTCCATTGACGGTGAACTCGTTTTATATGGAGCAAGAGTTGTAGTTCCTGCTGCCCTCCGCCGCCGCACCCTCTCTTGTCTACACGACAGCCACAGAGGTGTAGAGTCCACGAAGCGACGGGCAAAGCAGACTGTCTTTTGGCCTGGTATAGACTCGGACATCACCAGTACTGTCCATGCCTGTGAGTCTTGCCAAATGTTTCAGCCTAGTCAGCAGCAGGAGCCCCTCATGTGCGATGACAACCCCACACGGCCCTTTGAGTCCATTTCAGCAGACTTCTTCACAGTTGCAGGGAAGTCCTTCCTGGTCATTGCTGATCGACTCTCTGGGTGGCCTGTCCTCGTACCTTGCAAAGGTGACACTACCGCCCTCAACACCATCAGGTTCTTCTGCCGCTACTTCCGAGAAGTTGGTGTTCCTCTCCGTCTACAGACTGACGGAGGACCACAATTCACCAACAAGGAATTCCGGAATTTCGTGAAGCGGTGGGGAGTTTTTCATGTGGTTACTTCGCCACATCCACAGTCGAATGGTCATGCCGAGGCTGCCGTAAAGTCATTGGAACACCTTATCCTCAAGACAGCACCCTTAGGCAACATTGATTGTGAAGACTTTGACCGGGGTCTCTTGGAACTCCGGAACACTCCTAACGCTACAGGTCGCTCCCCAGCCCAGATCCTGTATGGTCAACCACTTCAGTCATGTGTACCTGCTCATCCTCAGTCCTTTCTGATGCACTGGCAAGAGAAGACAGAGGACTGTGACCGCCGTGCAGCCGCCCGTGCTGAGGCAGTGAAGCTCCAGTACGACCAGCACGCACGACCCTTACCCAGGTTGAATGTCGGACAGCACGTTCGGATTCAAGACCCGGCATCTCACCGCTGGGACAAGGTTGGGGTCGTCATGGGCTGCGGCAGGTCACGGGATTATGAGATCCGTCTACCCAGTGGTCGGGTATGGTGGCGGAACCGCCGTTTCCTTCGCCCTGTGCCGCCCCCTGGTGATGACTCCCTTCCTCATATCCCTGTGGACCCTTGCTTGGACCTTGAAAAGCAGTCCACATTCAGTAACCCCCAGCTGACCCACGTCGTCTCTGAGACTCCTAGAGAAAGAGTCCGCTCGTAATTGTACTACGAGCGTGAGGGGGGAGGGAGGTGTAGATAAGTGAGAACTCATACAGTGTGTTTAACCTGCACAATATAATCTGTACTTTGTCTACCCTGTATTTCTGTATATATTGTGTGTATGCATAACTGCTAATGCAAGATGATGTTCCTGTTTATTGATGTAGCCTCCCATATCTCTATATTTATTGCGCATGACGTGGCAACATTCTCCTTGATCACGTGACTATCAACATTGCCTGTGAGCGGGGTTTCCCGCCAAATTTCGATCTCTCGGCGCTGGTCAACCATAGGAGACAGATGTGTGCTCTCGCCCCCCATGTAACTCCTGAGAACAGAACCTACTAGATTCAAGATTGGTGTTTCCTTCTCCTGTTGATTACGAGGAACATCCCCCAACCCAAGAAGAAATATAAAACTTTCTCCATTTCTCTCTCTCTCTCTCTCTCTCTCTCTCTCTCTCTCTCTCTCTCTCTCTCCTCTCTCTCTCTCTCTCTCTCTCTCTCTCTCTCTCAAACTTACCCTCTTCTACCCAAAATATGCTCATGATTTACCTTCATAACCTTAGTATACCTTAAATATTTACCTTTCAACATCATCACCAATCTATTCAGGAGTTACTCTAAATCTCCTTCAACATCTACCACATCTTCCATGGACTGACACCAAAATCTAGTCAATTTCTTCTGTAATCTCAGTAACTTTATGTAATTTTTTTCTAGTCATTTACCACTTCTTCTTCTTCTTCCTTTCCCTCTGCTTCTTCTTCTTCTTCTTTCTGCTTCTTCTTCTTCTTTTTCTTTTTCTTCTACTTCTTTTTACTTTTCTTCTACTTCTTTTTCTTTTTCTTTTCTTCTTATTCTTATTCTTATTCTTTCTTATTATTTTTCTTTCTTCTCCTATTTCTTCTCTTTCTTCTTCTTCTCTTCTTCTTCTACTCCTTCTTCCTCTTCTTCTTCTTCTTCATTTACCTCTCTGAATCCCACCAATTCTGTTTCACTACCATATGCAATTGACTCTACCCGAAAGATCCAATTCTTTAACATATATCTATTTTCAAACTACTTGCAATCTACACAGATCACTAAACTATAACTAGGTGGTCACAGGACAGGCAAACCTCACGTAAATTTTCTTTATAATACACAAGGAAATAAACATCAATATAGTGTAAACCACTGCTCTTACATATATATTTTTTCCATGACCCATCTTAATCTACTTTTTATCTATCTATTATCTATGTAGAATATGTTGGCGATAGTATTACGGAAGTGTGAAGGTGATGATGAGGATGATGGTGACGATGTTGATGATAAGATGAGGATGGTAATGGTGATGATAGTGATGAGGATGATGATAATGATGATGATGGCAATGGGGATGATAGTGATGGTGAGAATAATGATAGTAATGATGATGGTGATGATAATAATGATGGTAGTGATGATGATGGTGATGATAATAATAATGATAGTGATGATGATGGTGGTGATAATAATGATGATACTGATAATAACGATGCTAAAAAAAATGCACTAACCCAAACCGAAGCCTTGGCCGTGTCCCAATCCGTCAAAAGGACATGCGCAAACAGCGAATACCCCACGGCGATAACAGCTCCTATCTTATCGCCGCGTTTCCTGTCTTGGCATCGAAAGGCCAGCCGGAGTGTCACCCGCAGTCTCTTCTGGGCGGCTCTCGCTCTAACATTAAGACGTGATATTTTTGTTTCTTTAGAGTGGCACGACATTTTAAGGTATTTGATTTTAGGTGTTTTTTTTCTGGGGGGGGGGGGTTGAGGGTAAGGGTGATGGGCGGGTTAGATGGGTGATGGGGTGGGGGGGGGAGTTATTTAGGAAGTCTGTGTGTGTGTGTGTGTGTGTGTAGGGATTGTTTAGAAAGGCTGTGTGTGTGTATGTGTGTGTAGGGGGTTGTTTGGAAGGTTATGTGTGTGTGTGTGTGTGTGTAGAGGTTGTTTAGGAAGGCTGTGTGTGTATTGTGTGTTTGTGTGTGTGCAGGGGTTGTTTAGGAAGGTTGTGTGTGTGTGTGTGTGTGGGGGTGTGGGAAGGTTGTGTGTGTGTGTGTGTGTGTAGAGGTTGTTTAGGAAGGCTGTGTGTGTATGTGTGTGTTTGTGTGTGTGCAGGGGTTGTTTAGGAAGGTTGTGTGTGTGTGTGCGTGCGCGTGAGTGTGCAGGGGTTGTTTAGGAAGGCTGTGTGTGTGTGTGTGTGTGTGTGTGCGTGCATGTAAAATTTGCATATGGTTCTTTGTTCCTAAGAGACAAGCGCAATTCCGTAACCGTTTTATTTTCTTGGCAGACGATTTAAAAAGAGAAAAATATTATACCCGAGAAATAGGGCAAACCTTGGCACTATACGATTAAAGGGTATCAAATAATGATCAACATGACAATACTGATAATAATTGGGATAGAAGAATTAATTAAAATGATCATGGTAATAATGATAATTACAATACTAATTATGATGGTCAGATTTATTGATAAATGCAACAATTATCATGATAATAATTGTTGTTACTATCATTACTATTATATTCACTTTTATTATTATTGTTATCATTATCAATACCATCCTTATGATTATCATTATTATCATTACAATTATTTTCATTATTATCACTATAATTATTATTACTATCATTGTTATTATTATCATTATCATCATTATCAATATTACTATTATCTTATTTCTTATTTGCATTATTGTCAATATCATTATCATCATTTCATCATTTTCTTATTCTTTATTAATTTTGTTATCATCATTATCATCAATGATATATGATTATTGTTATCATTATTATTATCACCATTATCATTATCATTATTATTGTTATTATTATTATCTTATTATTATTATTGTTTGCTGTTGTGTGGTGGTGTTATCATTATCATTATAATTATGATAGTTATTATTACAAGTAGTAGTGTCATTATTATTTATTAAATAATTATTGTTAATATTATTATTATTATTACTATTATTAATTTATCATTATCAGTGTTATCATTATCATTATCATCATTATCATTATTTATCATAGCAGTATTATTATAATGCATAGTAGTAGAAGTAGTAGTAGTTAAATGTCATTATCATTTTCATCATCATATCATTATCATACTATTATTGATAGTATTAGTATTGTTATTATAATTATCATTTTCATTATAATGATAATTAGTAGTGGTAATGTTTTCATTAGTATTTCTTCATATTCATTGTGATCATTGTTATTCTTTTTATAATTATTATTAATCACTATATCATTATTGTTATCGTTTTTATTCTTTTTATAATTATTATTATCATCACTATTATCATTATTGTTATCATTTTTGTTATCATTATTATTATTATTATTATTATTATTATTATTATTATTATCATTATTATTATCATTATTATTATTATTATTATTATTATTATTATTATTACTATTATTATTATTATTATTATTATTATTACTATTATTGTTATTATTATTAAATTATTATTATTATATATTTATTATTATTATTATTATATTTATTATTATTATTATTATTAATTATTATTATTATTATTATCATTTTTTTATTATTACCATTATTATTATTACTATTATTATTATTATTATTATCATTATCATTATTAGTATTGCTATCATCATTTTTATTATGACTAAGATTATGATTATCATCATTATCATCATCATTATTTTTATTATCATTATTATTATTATTATCATTATTATTATTATTATTATTATTATCATTGTTGTTGTTGTTGTTGTTATTATCATTGTCATCATTATCATTGTCATCATTATCATTGTCATTATTACTATTATCATTATCATCATTATTACCATTATCACTATTGTAATTTCTATTATTATTACCATGATTTTATCATTATTATTATTATTATCATTATTACCATTGTTAATATTTGCATGGTTGTTATTATTTCTATTATTATATATGTTATTTTCTTATAATTGTTTTTATCAATATTATTATCATCGTTATCATTATTATTGTTATTATTATTGTCATTATTATTATTATTATTGTTATTATTACTATTGTTATTATCATCATCATTATTATTGTTATTAGTAGTAGTATCATTACCCTTACTGTCAGTATCAGTATTATCATTGCATTGATTTTATTATTATCATTGTTATTCTCAAAATTATTATTGTTAATATGATTATTATTATCACCATTACCTTCATAGTAATAACAATGACATTGAAAATAATATGAATCATTATTACTATCACTACCCGTATCATTATCATTGTTGTCATAATTACGTGTCTATTGTTATCATTGAATTAGTTTTTAGTTTTACCATAATCAACATCATAATCATTAGGATTACCCTATTATGATGATTATCAATATTATTAGTTTTACTATAGTATTAGTATTAGTATTATCAATATTATTATGATCACCATCATCGTCATCATCAATGTCTTAGAGGCGAGAACAAGCAGTTAAGCGCTTGGGAGTTCTGGAGACATTTTGAATATAAAATCTATAACTGAGAGCAGTAATATCAAGGTATAAAAGCGAAAGAAAGCATATAGATCTATATTATCTGGAGAATAAATAACAACGTTGCAATATCCACGAAGGTAGTCCCCGGTGGCTCAATAAGGTGTTCGTACCTGTTGGTCGCAAGAGGGAATTCCAGGCGTCCAGCCCCGTCACGAGTAGCTTGGGATCCCTTTGGGGAGAGTCCGAACCTCCACGAAGCTTCATATCCGGTGCTTCTGAATCGTGATCGAGGAAGATGAAGAAGAAGGAGAAGAAAGGAAAGGAGAAGGAGAGAAGTAGGAGAAGGAAAAGAAAGGAGAAGGAAAAGAAGAATGAAAGAAAAAGAAGAAGACGAGGAGGAGGAAAAGAAGAAGAAGGAGGAGGAGGAAAAGAAGAAGAAGAAGGAGGAGGAGGAGGAAGAAAAGAAGAAGAGAAGGAGGAGGAGGAAAAGAGGAAGAAAAAAAAGGACAACAACAACAAAAGGAAAAAGGAAGAAGAAGAGTTTTCTCTTGGTTCTCTACAATATCCCAGCGCTTCTTTGCGGAGTTGCTGTTGAGCGAACTGAATCGACTCTCCATACCGCCGACGGCCTGGGTCGTGTCCCTGGTACACCCCGATGGCGCTGTACTAAAAAAATCGCTCTTCTCGCTCATGCTTATACAACTAACATGCCAATCACCTCGTATCACTTATCATTAATGGGGATTCCAAGGTATCTGCGCGGGGTCAAGTTGAGTTCGGGTTTCCCTTTCATAGTCCCGGCTGTAGAGCTAATTATCCACTAACCAAGGTCATCGCCTGTCGCCCTCGCACGTGCTGACCCATGCATGTTCCGCTAATTAGCTAATCAGGAGCCAGTGCAGTCCTTTTCAAACAGCGCTGCTATGCCTCATTTCGCAAATCAATCATTCTTTTTATAACCTTTAAAGCAGTCTATGAAAATCGGCCAGCTCTGTTTGGGTACCGCTTATGTGTAGGCATATGTGTGTCTGTGTGGCTGGGTGGGTGTATAAGCATATATATATATATATATATATATATAATATATATATTATATAATATATATATATATATATATTATATATATATATATATTATTGTATATGTACATATATGCAAATGTATATATGTATATAAGTATATATATATATACATATGTGTGTGTGTGTCTATATGTATATATGTATATACATATATGTGTATGTATACATATGTATATATAATATATATATATATATATATATA